ATATATATATATATATATATATATATATATATGGTGCGGTTTGTATAGAGTCTAGGCTCTAAACAATCAAATTAACGCCTATCTTTAAATAATATCAAGAAATGTGGTTTTAATATCGAAAATCTTTGTGATGGCCTTAAAATATACCTTCATATTTAATTATAAAGTTTAAAGCTTCAAAATTAGTATAAATCGACATATATATGAAACTTGAAAATCTTGAAAATGGACAGTCAAAACATGTGCCACAAAATACACTATTTCCAAAACTTGCAATCCATTGTTTTCTTATATCCATTCAACTTTATGTTGAGATGATCAATTTGAAAATATTTGGACATCAAAATAACCTCTCTAATGAAATTTTTGAGGTAGGTTCAAATTTGATTGTTTAGAGCCTCGGCTCTATATAAACTAATATATATATATATATATATATATATATAAGAAAAGTATTCCCAACGCCTATAAGTAAAAATGAACAGTGATTTCGCTTATGCTCATCATCGCCCAAAATTCATCGCACGGTCACGATTGTTTGATACTGTTTTCATTTTTCATTTTTTTTTCTATAAATTAGAATGATCTTAAATTTGGAGTGTGTGTACATATTAGTGAGACGCACTTAATAAAAATATATAAAAAATATTTCGTAAAATATAAATTAACCAAAATACCCCCATAAATTTTAGAAGATAGCGGTTTAGACATTAGACGTCCAATCCATTCTCCTACATTTGAAAAAAATAATAATTAAGTTGGAAATTTGGAAATTTGGAAATTCATTGTCGAAACTACTTTTTTACCACATGAGGTAATTTGATAAATTACAAAACCATTAAAAAGCATATAAAGGGAATATTTATCTTTGGTACAAGGAGGTGACACTTTTGTTCGTCTAATTTAAATTGGGTGGTTGTAAAAATATCATTGACTAGACTCAAAGTTAAAAAAAAAATTCTTGAATTTTGTACTATTTGACAAGAGGAATAATTGTCGATTTGTAAGTAGTGTACAACCGCAACTAAATAAATAAGAAATAAATAAAAAGTAGAACTTGAAAGTAAAATATAAATCACCAGAGGCTTTGTTTGTTTTTCTAAAAATAAAAAGGACTTTACATCACCCAAATTTCCCTAAAACAGAAACTTTACATCACCCAAATTTCCCTAAAACAGACTATGTACTTGTGCTCCAACATATGTGGTCCGCACATCTACCCCAAAGTAAATAGATGAACCGTTGTATGGACATGATCCATGTCCAAGCAAAAGACTGATCTTAACTGTCCACATATGGAGCATATGTGAACGTTTGCTTCATGAGAATTATGGTCAATTTTGCCGTCCGTGGCAAGGCAAACAACAGGCGGATGCAACTCTTCAACAAATGCGCACAGAATGTGTGGTGTGTGTGCATCATTGTTTTGCAAAACTCGGCCGGTCCAAAACCGGCCGGTCAAACTGGAACCAGGGCGTTGGTCGATCCGGTTTTAGCACGGTCTAGCATGGTATTTTGAAAAAAAAAATTAAAATTTCTACATAAAATCTCAAAAAATAAGAGATTTGTTTGTAATGTATTTTTGAATGTTTTTTTATCATTTTAGCATTGATTGGATTATTTTTACTTTGTTTTTTGAAAATTTTCAAAAATACCCCTGGCTACTTTTTCCTAATTTTAAAAAATTTTAAAAATACTCTTGCGCACAAATCGATTTTTTAAAATTTATTTTTTTCCCTAATTTAACTAATTTTCAACTTCAATCAGATTTACTTTGTTCAATTATGTTTTAAATATATTTTTTATTTTTTGACACTTTTTGGACAAGCCTGTTGAATTGTCGGTTTACCGGTTACTCCGATTGGCTCTGGGCCAGAGGCCGGTTCGATTTTTCGAACACTGGTGTTTAGTACCTGTGAAAGGAGTTTGACCTCAGGAGCCTTGTATGGGCTATGATTTGTTCATTCTACACTATAAACTATAAAGAGAAGCGAGAGAATAAGATACAATTCGATTGAAAATTTGAAAATTCAAGCCCAAGTTTCTCAGTCCACATAACAAAGAGATACAGGCGGGCCACACACACAGAGAGACCTTCCCTTTAAATCCTTTAACTTCCGTCTCATTGGGCCTTGGAAGGGTTGCCACTCAGAAAGTCAATATAAACTACCATGCTACTCTCTTCTGCAACTGCCGTAGTAGTTACAGAGAGAGGGGAGAGAGCTCCAACACAATAGTTTTCCATTGAGAAAACCAAAGTAAAACCACCTCACAAACCCCGTCCATAGCTGCAATGGCAGTTGTAGAATGCGGCCTCATGTAAGCTCCAATACGTGCCTCCTCTAATTCTAAATTTTGAGTACTTATGCATGCAAATAATTAGAACCCACCTTGTCATCCTTGGAATTCATCCTCACTTCCATAAATGTCATAGATTTATAGAGCAGGAAGCCAATCAAGTTTCTTCTATTCTCATTTACAAATCCCAAGACTCATTTCCTGTTTTAAAATTTTCTAATCAGTTATTCCTTTATTAATTATTTTTCGTTTATTTCAAGAGTTATAAATCCGTATTGGTTTTTCTGTGTATTTAGTTGGATTTTATGTTTTATCTGTAGGAGGATTTGAGTGCTTGTTTTCTCATGCCTATCAGTCTTATTTATTTAGCAATGGATATTCATTCTAGATCACAAATGGGTCCCCAATAAAATTAAATGTGAGTTATTCCTGAGTGGGTTGATAAGAAACCAATTTTCTCTCTACTGCAAGAAATAAATGGTTCTAGTGATACCCTCCCATCAACTATTGTAATTCTTCCTTTAAAGCATGAGAATATTTCATTTGTGAAGAAAGGGCTCATAGCACTAATTCCTGAAATTCTCTTGTTTTTGTCAAAACTGAGGTTAATTTCTGTCCAAGAGCATAATTCTAGCCTTAGCTCCGAACCTCTGTTCTATGTCTCATCTGAAATCACTATAGAAAGAAGAAAGGGTTTTAATTTTTAACACAAATTCGCAGAATTTCCCTGTCAAGTTAGAGAATTGGGTTGATGAAAGGAATAGAGTTAGAGATTGTTATCTTAAGCAGTTGCATCGCGAAACACCTGATTAGAAGAATGGAATGTTTTGTGCGAAACACCTGATTAAAAGAATGGAATGTTTTGTATTTTTCTAGATTCTTTCAATTGTAATTGTTTCAAGGTATCGCTTTATAGTTCATAAAAATTTCATTTGCCTCCATGAAGAAAGCATTAGAACAGAGGGATTCAGGAATGTATCCCAGTGCTCACATCTCTTGGGTTCATTTTGTTGTGATATTTCATGAATAAATTCTCACTTTTCCTTACTGCTAATTTCTGAGTTTATTAGAATAAATTCTCCCTTTTTCTTACTGCTTATTTCTCAGTTTATTGATCCTCATTTCGGACCAACCTATGGTACGTTTCACATTCTTCTCTCTCTGCTCCCTCTCTCTCTCCCTCCTCTCTCTCAGCTCCTCTCTCTCTCTCTCTTCCCTCCTACACGCCATAAAAAGTCTCTTAAGGTCTCTCTCTGCTCCCTCCTAAACGCCATGAAAGATCCATTGACAGTGATCCTTGGCTTTTCTAAACTCATTTTTGAAGTAGATAGTTCGTATTTCTCATTACCTTTGAAAGTTTGAAATTTCTCTGTCTTTCATTTTGAGTACATGCTTGAATTGACGATCAGGAATTAATTTTAGAATTCTGGTAAAATTCAGAGTTAATCTTTCATTTTTCTCAAAATCTGTAAAATTCTGCTCTGGATTTATTTAAATAATTCACAGTTTTTATACTTCAATAAACTTATATTCGAGTTGCTTGTTCATTCTCAGAAATGATCTTTCATTTTCGGTTTTACTATGCATTTCAAGCATCTTATACAAACACGTTGTGACTTTTGATCTGGAGCTAACTAGTAGAGTTCACAGTTCACTTTCAGAGTTGATCATTCATTTTTTTGAATACCTGCAAAGTTCTGAAACATCTCATCTGGGATTAAGGTTAAGCTGTTGATCAGGAGTAGATTACAAAGTTCATAATCCATTTTCAGAGTTTAATAGGTCATTTTTAAAATTTCATCTGAAATTTTCAATCATGACATTTGAAAGTATGCATGAACTTCTTTTCAGGGGTTGATTTGTAAAGTTCATAGTTCATTTTCAGAGTAGATAATTCGTTTTCGTGATTACCAGTAAAATTTTAAGGTATTTCATCTGAAACCATCTTTGACGTTATGATATGGGCTTGGACTCGTTGAATTTTTAATTCAATTTTTGAGTTGATCATTCATCTTTCCTTACAAAGTTCAATCCATTTTCAGACTTTGATCGTTCATTTTCTAAACTTCGTCTGAAATTTTCAATCGTGACATTTTGAAACTGTGCATGAACTTCTTTTCAGGAGTTGATTTGTACAGTTCATAGTTCATTTTCAAAGTAGATAATTCGTTTTCGTGATTACTAGTAAAATTTTCAGGTATTTCATCTGAAATCATCTTTGAAGTTATGATACGGACTTGACTCGCCGAATTCTTTGTTCAATCTCTGAGTTGATCATTCAACTTTCCTTACAAAGTTCATAAATCATTTTCAGAGTTTGATCGTTCATTTTCTAAATTTCGTCTGAAATTTTCAATCGTGAGACTTTGAAAGTGTGCATGAACTTCTTTTCAGGAGTTGATTTGTACAATTCATAGTTCATTCTCAGAGAAGATAATTCGTTTTCGTGATTACCAGTAAAATTTTCAGGTATCTCATCTGAAATCATCTTTAAAGTTATGATACGGACTTGACTTGCAGAATTCTTAATTCAATTTCTGAGTTGATCATTCATCTACGGACTTGACTCGCCGAATTCTTAGTTCAATTTCTGAGTTGATCATTCATCTTTCCTAACTTCTTAATCCATTTTCAGATTTTGATCGTTCATTTTCTAAATTTCGTCCGAAATTTTCAATCGTGACATTTGAAACTGTGCATGAACTTCTTTATTGGATAGTTCATAGTTCATTTTCAGAGTAGATAATTCATTTTCGTGATTACCATTAAACTTTTCTGGTATCTCGTCTGAAATCATCTCTGAAGTTGTGATGCAGACTTGACTCGCCAAATTCTTAGTGCAATTTCTGAGTTGATCATTCATCTTTCCTTATCACTATGAAATTTCTGAACAATAATTCATTTCAAAGAACTTTGAAATCTACCATGTAAGTTGATTTCCGGAGTTCATAGTTCATTTTCAGTGTCTGTTTTAGTGGCATTTTCATGGTTAAACTTATGATCTAAAGTTGATTTGAAAGTTGCTAGCTCATTTTTGCAGTTGATTATCGATTTCTCATGATTCCGGTGAAACTTTCGAAGAGCTTATTTGAAATGTGCAGAATTTTTTAGAGTTTATAGTTCATTCCTCATTAACTGTAAATTTTCACATAAAAAACATGATGTGGACTCCTCGTTCTCTCTACTCCCTCCCTCTCTCACCCTCCTTTCTCTCCCTCTTTTAACTATTTGCGTTGTCTCTGGTCCCTCTCTCATTTTTTCTTTTTTCCACAGACCAAGCAAAAGAGAAAGAATTTGGAAGAGTGAGTTTATCATGAAAATGGTCTAGGTTCCTCGATTTCACATGAAGAAGCTCAAGCAGAAAAGAAGAGAAACCTCCGCCATTAAAGTTTCAAGGTGAAAGCTAAGTCAAATGAAGCTCAAGCAGGAAAGAAGAGAAACCTCCGCCATTAAAGTTTCAAGGGTGAAAGCTAAGTCAAATGGAATAAGGAGTTGTAGACACTCTAGGCCTTGGCAAACTAAGTCAAATGGAAGAGGTACAAGCTAAGTCAAATGGATTAGGTAGATGTATAGTAGTCTAGGTCAATTTATATATATAGGCCAATTTACATTCCAATAAGATGTATAGTAGTGTAGGCCAATTTACATTTCTTTAGGCCAAAATTGTTGCACAAAGATGGACGATTGGAGCAGTGGAGTTCTCCTCTCTCACTTCTCTGTCTTCTCTCTCTGACCAAGTTATATGTAAAAAAGCCATTGGAGAAATAGAGTTCTGCTGTATTATCTATCAAATGGACCTGTTTGTTTAGTGATATCTGAAGACAAAAACATGTGTTTTTTTTTTTTATCATTTGCAATTTCTCAAAATAGTAGCTGGTTACATGATTGCTTGATTGGCTATTGGTCTTCTGGTTTATATGTGAAAGGCTCTTGCCTTGGGGTGATTGCGCTCAACACAGAGCATGGTACTTTACATTGATTCGATGCTTGTTCAACAATTTTAACAATTGGGATAGTTCTCGTCGTCCTTTTTGTCCTTGATAATTTTTCTCTTTTTTTTTTTTGCGTTGGAAATTAAAAAAAAAAAACCTATTTCCACTTCATGGTTTTTTTTTATTTTAAGTCAGATGCTGAAATATTACCTGTCATCCGATAGTGATCGAACATTTGTTTTTGAGGGCTATTCTAATACCATACTGTGCATGATTTGATATATTAGAGCACGGGGGAGCTTTTTCCTCTGCAACATCAGAACATACATGTGCTGGTGATACTGATGCAATGGTGACACGAGCTGGACTTCCACTAGAGGTCTGTTTATGGTGTTAGATATACCATGCAAAGTCTAGTTATAACAGGTCTCTAGTGTACTAGTGTTGACAAGATTTTAAATTATCCGTTTGATACTGTTGTCCTGTTGCAGGATCTTGAGTTGGTGCAGGACCAATACCATGAATTTTAACCATGGTGTAGGCAGGATTTAAGTCTTTTTTATTTCTTTAATAGACATTGGTTTAATGCCATCTCCTTTTTTTATGTTAACACATAGAATGAAGTGACCAGTTCTAGTTGAGGCTGCCCCCTTTTGCTGTTCGGGGATAGTCACAAAATGACATTCTATTCATTTTTGAACCAGAGGGTTCTAGTTTACATGCATTCTTAATTCCTTGGTGGTGGAGATTAATATGTTATGCTGCTTTGATTTTTCGTATGTGACATTTGCAGTAATATTTGACGTTTTATATCTAATATAGAACCACATCTGTCTCCATATGAATCACCTTCCACCAGATGTGTATCAAGAAGAGATGCCATCTTTGCAGAAGTTGATGTTACCAAGGAGCCAATCCCTGTGATACCTACTGTTCATTAGATATGCGTGGTATCCCAACAAATTACCACGGAGAAGTATAATAGAACTGCGTGGTATCCCAACAAATTACCACGGAAAGTATAATATGGAACTAAGGATGATTTCATGTGTCATAGTTCCTTCGTGCCAGGTTGTTAGTGTTATTTTGTTTCAATATCTGTCATTACAAATTGGTCCGTCTGCTTCATAGGTTGTTGGTATTAAAGGTGATGACCATGATGCTATTGTTCGTGGATTAATGGTAGCTGATGAAGCAGTTTGTGCTTCAGTGCATAGTGCTAACATATTTGGTGTCAATTCCCTTCTGGATATCGTTGTATTTGACCGAGCTTGTAGCAATAGGGTCGTAGAAATCTGTAAGTCGTGCATGATTGACTTCTTGTTGAAGATTGCTGTTACTTAAAATTGGACTAGTGTGGCTACTGGTTCATGACAACATGTTCTTTATTTTATGTGCTTGAGAAGCAAAAGCCTCTAGTGATGATGGGCAGAAGACTGTTGCGAGGTTAGACAAGCAAAGGAACTCAAATAGCTCCCAGCCTACCATGAAGACTCTTCGTAATATGCAACAGGGTGACGCAGAAACTCTACCTTTACAGAGAATATTGAACTAGAAAAACTCTACCTTTACAGAGAATATTGAACTAGAAAACCTTTTGATAAATGCATGCATAACGATGCTAGGCTGGGAAGCAGAGCCGGGGTGCACATGCCCATGAAGATGTCGCACTAATATATGCCAGAAGAATTTCTTTTCAATAAGCTTCCATTTCTTATATCTGTCTGTACATCTCAATAATTCTGATGACTGTTATAGTGCATGTGAGATATGATGAGAGTATGATGAAACATACTTCGGGGTTTCTCTATCTCTCTCTCTCTCATGTTTCCATACATATCTTCCTCAATCTCTCCATATTCTCTCTTTCTCTCTCATGTCCATGCATATCTTTCTCAATCTCTCCATACTCTCTCTCTCTCTCTCTCTCTCTTTTATGTGTCCTTGCATATCGTACTCCAATTTTGATATTGAGAATTGTAGGATTGATCTGTAATGGTGCGCTTCCTCACTTGAAATTTTTGTCATGGGTAAAGCTTTGTGCTACTTATTAAGATTTCACGCATTAGTCATGTTATTTGATGTCATGTGCTGCCACATTGGTTATTGGAATATTTATGTCCCCAAGGATCTATGCTACAATTCCATCAAGAATAAGCATCTCTACTTCCCTCACAACTTCGTTCTTTTTCTGCTCTACAAAGTATCTTCCTAACTAACTCCCATGTGCTATTGACATTAGGATGTTTGTATTTAACATACCTCTGTAGTATTTTATACAGATAACTGTTGGTCCCATAATTATCATCATAATCATCTCCATCCAAGAACCTCACCTTCAACAGAGCAGCTTTCGTTTTTCGAGAAGGACATATCTGGAGTTCTTTCTTCTGCTCATCTTTCTTATTTTGCATGCACAATCTACAATTAACTTATTCTCTTCATCTGGAGATTTGAGAGAACTTGCATAAAGGACACCAACAGAAATCAGGAGCTTGAACAGCGCCTCTACTGCATTGAGAAATTGGGGATTGTTGATCAGTGACAGATCAACTGCTTGCGGAGTATTTGAGGGTTTCAGTTACTTCGATTCCCCTGCTGTTGCTTTTGGGTTTGGAGTTTATTTTATGCCGATGAATAACATTAGAGTAGCTGTATTCTACTCCATGTAAGGGAGTAGTTTATTTTGACTCGAATGCATGCATATTTTACATAGTATGTTTTGGCTCTCATGTGCATGGTGGTGAATGATGGAACCTTTCAAATGGGTTGGCTGGTGAGTAAATTCCATGGATGCACCGATGTGCACTTCTGCTGTTGGCTTTTGTGTGAAAATTGATCAAATAAAAAACAGTTATTTTTATGAAATAGTCTTGAATGATTGAACAAGTAAGACTAGAAGGTAATGAAAGATCATGCTTTTGCTGACTTTTATAGCTCTCAATTAGATTTCCTCAACCATGTCCATGTCAAGGCCCTGCTATACAATGAAAAGTTGAAAAAGAACAGTATTAGCAGAATATTTGGGATGGAATGATGCACAGCCTTCGTGTGATGCTTGATTACAAGGGCATCCAAACTGATCAAGATAATATGCACAGTGTGTGTGTTTTAAAACCTCAGAGCAGAATTTGAGCTAATTATTGTTCAGACAGAAAGCTTCATTCTTTAAGTATTTTGAAGATCTGTTGGATTCTTAGGCACATGAAGGGCAGTTAACTCTAGTTTTAACAGTTTTGAGGGCTGATTCGTTCTCCTGGGCTCACCTTCAACGAGTACAGCCTAATTGAGCATACAGTTATCTTTTCCTTGTAGTTGTTCTTTCAGTTCCATTGGTTTACTACCACTCATTTCTTGCCTTACTAATACTCCCATTCATTTTCTTTTGCAGTTCCTGTAACAGGTTCTCTGGCTTTAACGACCATGCTTCTATGGGTCAAAGTGTTGCTTCTGAGGCCTCAATTCCTCTTGTTTTTGGACTTCACTCTTTTCTGTACCATAGTCCCTGGGTTCCTACCTTGACTTGTGCAGATGACATGTGAACTTGCACACTGGCCAGTGTTGGCTGAACATGCCGTGAACTTTCTGTGTGACATCTGTGCAAGGTGGTTATGGAATTCTTGTGTTCTATAAGACCATTAGTCTTTTACATTCTCCTTTGCTTTGCATTGTATGAACTTCCCTTGAACTTTTATTGGCTTCTTTATTTTGGTTAGCCAGCCTAGTATTTTGTGTCTCAGACTTTGTGGCTAATACTCCTAAGCTTCTTGACATCAATCCGCTGTCCTTAATTCTAGTTAGTATTGTTCTTTGTATGCTCTGACTTTCTCTCTTCCGTGACTTCATTCGTGTTTATTCTTTCTTCTTGGTCTCATTTTTTAAGGCCATGTTATGGGGATCCCTCACTATCTATAAGGTTGCCTTTGTATGTTTTCAAAATCCTTTTCGGAGTTAAAATCTTGCATTTTCGCCACTTCTCTTTTTTAAGGGTTCCTGTTTGAGCTAATTATTGTTCAGACAGAAAGCTTCATTCTTTAAGTATTTTGAAGATCTGTTGGATTCTTAGGAACATGAAGGGCAGTTAACTCTAGTTTTAACAGTTTTGAGGGCTGATTCGTTCTCCTGGGCTCACCTTCAACGAGTACAGCCTAATTGAGCATACAGTTATCTTTTCCTTGTAGTTGTTCTTTCAGTTCCATTGGTTTACTACCACTCATTTCTTGCCTTACTAATACTCCCATTCATTTTCTTTTTCAGTTCCTGTAACAGGTTCTCTGGCTTTAACGACCATGCTTCTATGGGTCAAAGTGTTGCTTCTGAGGCCTCAATTCCTCTTGTTTTTGGACTTCACTCTTTTCTGTACCATAGTCCCTGGGTTCCTACCTTGACTTGTGCAGATGACATGTGAACTTGTACACTGGCCAGTGTTGGCTGAACATGCCGTGAACTTTCTGTGTGACATCTGTGCAAGGTGGTTATGGAATTCTTGTGTTCTATAAGACCATTACTCTTTTACAATCTCCTTTGCTTTGCATTGTATGAACTTCCCTTGAACTTTTATTGGCTTCTTTATTTTGGTTAGCCAGCCTAGTATTTTGTGTCTCAGACTTTGTGGCTAATACTCCTAAGCTTCTTGACATCAATCCGCTGTCCTTAATTCTAGTTAGTATTGTTCTTTGTATGCTCTGACTTTCTCTCTTCCGTGACTTCATTCGTGTTTATTCTTTCTTCTTGGTCTCATTTTTTAGGGCCATGTTATGGGGATCCCTCACTATCTATAAGGTTGCCTTTGTATGTTTTCAAAATCCTTTTCGGAGTTAAAATCTTGCATTTTCGCCACTTCTCTTTTTTAAGGGTTCCTGTTTGATGATGCAGTTCCCGAAATGTCTTGGGATTCTGCATTCTTTGTGGTACTGGATACAACATTTTTCTGCAAGTGGGTTCCTAAAACCAGTTGGTTGTCCTTATTTCTTACATTTTCTTTTTCCCTGTGTTCAAAGTTACCTCTGGATTCCTAGTTTCTTGCTTGGCCCTTGGATTTTTCTGCTTCCCCTCCTATTCAGCTCATTTACATCATTCTTCTGCAAATAATCAACTAGAGCTTAAATTATTTGCAGTTGTGATAAGATTTAATAATAAGTATGAGCTACTCAGAATTTCAGACATCAATTAGCCTTGTCCTTCTTGAAGAGACAGAACAGTGTCCCAATACCAGAAATGAGTGTTCTTCAAGATTGACTTTAAAAATTATGAAGTTGGTGAGAGAAAATATGTGGTTAAAATCAATGTTGGCCATCAGTCACGAGAAGAGTCTTTCCTGTTCAATTCCAAATGGAAATGATTTTTGCAGATAGGGCAGATCCGCAGATAGATGAATCTTTCTATTGCAGTTCTCTAAGATCATACAAAGAAGAGCTAAGTGAACTTCGTATGGTAGTCGCTTTGAGAGAACAAGAAAATTGCAAGAAGTTTTAGGGTTGGTTTTATCACATACAAATTGCACAAAAGCGGATGCAATTTCCATGCTAGAATGCGGTAGGAAACTTTGAGAGAGGGTGTATGTTGTTGATGGGAAACTCAAGGTCTTGTCTAGTGAAAAATGGCTGAACCAATTCTGGTTATCCTTAAGATTATGCTTTGTTTGGTTCTCAATACCCCAATTAATCTTTTTATTATAGTCATCCCCTATTAGGCATTTTGGATTCTTACTGACTGGAGCTTAAATCAGGAGTTGCAGTTGATTTTGGAGATGGGTTCAGATTCACAGCCAGTGGTCTCAAATTCCCAATCAAAAAAGCAATTTGACAGCAAGCCTAGTAATTTCTTGCTTGGGTGGATTAAACATGGAGTGCTTGAGAATCCAAACCATCTCTCCAAATATCCCTTGGAGAACATCAAAAAGAAGAGATGGCTGAAGTCTCACAGGGGCTACAGATCTCCAGTCAAATATTTACTGATTCGATTCATATAGAAATAATCTTAGAGAGAACAGATGCTCCATTTATCAATAAAACATTTTATGACTAAAATTTTTATTGTGATATTTTATTATAAATAATGGAGTGAAAGTTATGGTTGCAAGTGGGTGCCGGTTAATACACCAGGCAGCCTTGGAATAATTCCGACAATATTTGCTGGGATCTAACAATATTTGTAAAAAAATTATATAGAATTCAGTGAGAACTTGAATTTGCAAGTGTTATTCCTGGGGAAAGTGGTAGTGGAAAAGGGTGAGTACTGAGAAGTGTGTAGTTTGTAACGCAAGTGGTATTCACGGGCTGAATATGAAAGTGTTGGGAATACTCTGAATATGAATTGGGCTGATTTTTTGCCACTGATCCTGGGGTTGTAATGGTATCAGCATTCTCAAACTGAGTTCAACAACTATCATGTGATTTGACAAATGCCATTTATTTAATAAAATTCTACAGAAGCCATTTGTTATGTAAAATTTTGAACCAGGTGAGTGAACAAGATGCGTACTATTAATTCTATTTTAATTAGCTAAAATCCAACTGCTTTTTTGTAGTTCAGAATAACAATTTTTAAATGTGAGTAGTTCGGGAGCACTTCTTGCAAAGCTGATCAACTCAATACCACCAGGTTTTAGTTCATTTTTTGCTGTTGCTTAGAAGTATCAACTCTCTCTCTCTCTCTCTCTCTCTCTCTCTCTCTCTCTCTCTCATATATCAAATTGAAGAATGCACCAAATCTAAATAAAAGACATCCACAAAAACGGCCTATTTTTTCAAAGCCATGCTATTAAAGGAAACAAAGCAATGCATTTTTGCTATTTATAGCTAAATGTTAACCCTAAATAACCACATAGATTATAATAGAAATCTCTATCCCAACATTTTCTCTCCTCTTTCATCTTCCAGGTCCATTACATCCAAGCCCCATCTGAATATAGATAAGGCATTTCTCAATGAGATCATAAAATCACAGCAATCTTGCCGCATAAAATCCAAATATGGAGTACACAAACACATTGGAAAAATCAGAAAATTCATCCTTCTCTGACCTGTTGAGCATTATTGCACAGGACCAACCCAACCCCTCTTCATCTTGCCTAACTGAACCTCTTTCCTCTCTCTGTTTTCCTAATCAATTCTTGCCTAATAGACCTCAACATGCCATTGCTTGTTCTTCTTGAGTTTGGAGAGCTTCTCCTCCCAATTCTCTCCCCTTTGCTCTGCAACTCTCTTCAGTGTATCCTGAATCCCGGGCATCATTCCCCTCAACCCACAAAAATATATATGTGCACCTTCATCCAAAAGCTTAAAAACTTCATCACTGTATTCCTCAATCTTATCCTGAACATAGAGTTTTCCCCCTAATTTATTCTTTTGCTCTCTGCTCAGTGCTAAGTCGTACCTGAAGTTTTCAGGGTATTCTTTCACGTAATTATTGAACTCTTCATCATAGAGAAGACTATCTGAGTTTGCAACACCAAGGAAAAGCCAAGCGAGGCCTCCAAATTTAAAAGAGGGGATGGACTCCATGAACATCCTCCTTAGATATCCTCTGAATGGTGCAATGCCGGTTCCAGTTGCTATCATGATATGAGTGGCATCTGGGTCCTCTTCGGGCAATAGCATCACCTTACCAGATGGTCCTGCCAAGCAAACAAGAACAGTTGGGTTCACATCAAATACATGTTTCGCTATCGACAAATGCTTTGACAGATTCAGTACATAATAGGATTAGAGAGAGGCAGAGAGAGACAGAGAGAGAGATGGGGAGGGGGGACAGGGTTGGGAGAGATTTGGCATAATCTGAAAAAGATCAGATGGGTCCACAGTTCTTTCTCAAGGGATTTCCTTTTTATAAGAGTTTGCAATTTACCTGTAATCTGGACTTTGTCTCCTGGCTTGGAATTACAAAGGAAATTGCTGCAAATGCCATTCTTTGAAGGATCTTCATTTCCAGTGTCCGGGTCATAATACACAGCTCGACGTACACACAGGCTGGCTGTTTTGCCATCAAAGAAGTCCCCATATCGGGTTGACGCTATTGAATAGAGTCGGACATTTTGGGGAGCTCCTGGTTTCTTTGGGTTTTCACCCTGCAAAACTCACAACACAATTGTTTAGCAATGGTGGTTCAAATGCCATAAGAGAAATCCAAATGTTATTGATCAATGTAACCTAAAATTTGTATGCCAATTGGAACTGGCAGTTGGTTCTAGTCCTTAACAGTTAGTGATAGTGATCGAAAGCCAATTATACTTCTTGCTAGCCTCTCAAGGCGTTTCTAAGTACTATTATTAAAGATTACAAGATGTCTGAAGTTTAAGATAAAACATAGGAAGCAACTTACAGGAGGGATGACACCATAACTCTGCCCTTCCCAATAGGGAACATTGCCTCCATGATCAATCACAATATGGCATGTTTCACCGGGAGCTTTTGGGCCAACAAGCCTTTCAACCGAAACTATGGTTGCTGTGTATGAATCCTTGGGCTTGTATAAATTAAGAGGAGGTTCTCTAGCATCCTCAAGTTCCAAAGGTGATACTGCAACTTTACTTCTCTTAGCTTGCTGCACAGACATGCATGTTGTGTATCCAGCCTTTGAGGACAACGTTTTTGGGCTTCCATTCAAAGAAAGTACTGGCACCCATGCTTTGCCTTGAAATGATAGAGAACTTTTCTGGAATAAAGCACAAGAAATGCACGTGAAAATGTAATCAAAGTAAGCACTCCACGTACACAGAATCTGAAAAAAAAGTGCCTATTAGAGAAAATGCATATATGATATGAAGAATTGAATTTTTATATCAGGCCATTTGTGAGCAACAGAAAGTTCTGAACCACCTATGACCAAGACATCTGAGGAGAGAATGCTTATTACACAAGAAGTTTTGTTCATGTCATTAGAATGCAACAGATACAAGAAACATGTGAGAATCACGTATGCACCATTGCAAATAAGAACCTAACTATTAAACCTTTGCTACACAATGAAACCATATTTGACTTAAATAACAGAAACCCGTAGTAATGTTTATACGTTCAACAAATAAGAAGCTAAGCATATCAAGCATCTACCATCATTTGATTGAAAAAAGAGTATCTATTGTTCAAAGGCTACAAACAAAATCAAAGAATAGATACTGATTATAAATAATTTTGTTTTTCATGCTATAGGAACATCCAATATATCATTAAGCTGCCAATGTTCCTAAGCTGCTAATAGAAGTCTGAAATCTAATCTGCAAATTTCCCACTAAAAATAGGGGGAAAATGCCCATTGATTGAGTCAGTAAGATCCATGATTCCTCAATTAAAGCTTAAAGCATTGAAAGTTAAGTCTGAACCCTCAGTTAGAAAGAATGGTCGTGAGTTCACCTACAAGACAAGCAACTAGAACAATATCATAAGCTTACAGTAGTGACTATTGAGGCCAAATCCTTAGTTTGATCCTGAGTCGACTCCACATCAAACAACAAGAATAAAATCAACCAAGTTCGAAATATTGACCCATAGGTCCAACTACTCCATTAACGCAGCTAATCTTTAGCTCAACTCCAAGTCAAGAAGCCAAAACAAAAGCATTAGGCTTAAAGACTTTGTCTCCAAATAATAAATTGAAACAGATGTTAAAACTGATAATTACAATTCATGGAACATACATTATTTCTAATTAGAAACTACAATAACTCAATATTAACATGAACTAATGTCACTATTCAGATACCAAAAAAAGTAAAACCAAGTAGCGAAGTATTCTCAGTGATCTAACAAAAAGATGAGAATTGAGACCTGGAAACTGGATCTCCTTACTGATGTATCACAGCTCGCATGAACCAGGTTAGCAGCCTGCATGTCACAAAAATTGAATATTAACACAAAAATCACATATGGAGGAGAAAGCCACATATAAAGGGGAAAATACTAGAATCAGAATCTGACTCAAAAGACAAACAGAATCGATCATAAGAAATACACTCAGTAAAACTTGGAATCAATAGTAAATCAAATAGAGTTCAGATGAAGAAACAAAGGGAACCAATGTTTTTAAAGAAAATGAAGGAATTAGTGGAATTTTAAGAAATTCTGGACAATTCCAAAATCGAAATGTTTTTTAAGAAACAAAAACTAATGCTGCAAATTCAAACTAAAACGCCGAAATCCAAACCAAAAATCCAAAAAACTGAATAAAGATCCAAATAGAAACAGAAGACCCAAAGAACTGCCACAAACCATAATCTTAAAAACCACAAAGGAAAGGCTAAAAATTGATGAAAAAAACCACAGAAAAGGGAGAGGTACAAACTGACCTGGGAACAAATAGAGTAGGCCATTGCAGGACCAGAAACTGAAACTAAGATTAATCAAAATGGTACTTAGGGTTTCCTCTTATAAGAGAGGATGAACACTTAGATCATGCGAAGGGGGAGTAAAAGTGATCCTTTGGAATACTGGAAAAGGCAAAAAAAAAGGACAAAAAATTGTTTACATTTCATGAAAGGCCAAAACCAGGTAATAAAAATTAGGCAAATGGCACACTCCCAGTTATATATGTTTTCACTGTATTAAAATTGAGAACTTTGGGTATATGGAAGCGAATATCATGATACCACTTACTTGTAACACAAAAGGTTAGAACTGATTTTAGCCGCCAGATTTAAAATCTAGAGGTTGTAATGCATGCTAGTGACCATCGTGAAAAGCAAATAAAAGTTCTTGTCAAGTTGGGGGCCACTTCGAACCTTCTGATGCAATATTGGACGGCTAGAAATGATTGTGGCTATTATGTATGAGAAGTAAATAGTCTTGCAGACTTCACATCCTTTAATTATTTATGGAGGCTAGCTTTTCACCTACGGTTTTAGTAAGGACACCTAGCCGTACAAAATAGAGCCATCTTGGGGGTGGCAATGGGTAGGGTCGGGACAGACTCGGACCCAAAAATATAATTTGGAACCTGGATCCTGGCTTAGACTCGATTGGACCGAACTCAAAAGTTAAAATATCTACATTTTTAAATATGGGTGCGGTTTGTATAGAGCCGAGGCTCTAAACAATTAAATTAGAGCCCACCTTCAAATAGTGTTGAGAAATGTAGTTTCAATACCGGATATCCTTGTGATAGCCTTAAAATATATTTTCATATTTAATTATAAAAATTTAGTGCTTCAAAAATAATGTAGATCAAGCAGATCTATGAAAAGTTTAATAACTTAAAACTGACGGTCCAAAAATGCGTTACAAGATGCACTATTTTCAAAACTTGAAATCCATTTTTTTCTCAAGTCTATGCATCTTGATGACAAGATGATTAATTTGAGAATATTTGGATTGTTCAGGTAGGCTCTAATTTGATTGTTTAGAGCCTAGGCTCTATATAAACTTTTTCCTTTAAATATCTTTTAATGTATTTTCATAAATTGGAAAATACGGGACTCGTACCAAGATTCGGACTCAAATAGTGCTAGGGATCCAATGTTTTGAGCCCATACCCACATCCAAGTGGGATCTAGCGGTCGGCTCCCGGTTCCATTGCCACCCCTAAATGCCCTTTGCACCCCTTCGGTGATAGGTGAACTTGTAGGGTATGGGTGGCCCTATTGTCAAGATAGGAAACGGCAAGTTTGAGCATTGGGAACCTTTTGTGCAATATGAATTATTTGGGGTGGTTAATAGGCCATAAATTGTTTTAAGAGTGGCATACAATGAAACTACTTACCTCTCATGCAAGGATGTTAGGATCAACATCTACTCATTCGATGTAAAATCGGGTGGTTGAGAATGTGTTAATTATTTCAAAGTTTCAAATAGTTTTCTTAAACCATGCGATAGGCCTCTACCCCTCGAATTAGCATCTATGGTTAAGGGTGATTGTAACTTTCTTTTGTTACGTAAAATTGTCCTTATAATATAAAAGGATTGTATACTATGAGACCATTTATTTTTCGTACAAAAAGGCCTCAACTTTTTTTAACCATTGGATATGAAATCTAACATATTAAAATGTATCATAGCTTTTGAGAAAATTTATTTCAGACTTTGTGCTCAATTAGTGATGCAACATCATACATCCGATTTCACATCCAACGGTTGATAATGACTGTGACCTTCTTGTATCAAAAGTAAACGGTCTCATCGTATACAATTCATACTATTAAAATCCCTTATTTTACACTTCTAACTAAGGCTAACTCGGTTAGGACAAGGCCAGGGTTGGCGCAAGGGTAGCCTTGGCTCGGCCAGGTTGAGCCTACTAAACTCAAAGATTAAAAAAAAAAAAATGAAAAAAAAAAGGCCTGTCCAACCGTATTGTGGCCCTAGCCAAGCCCAGGCCTCAAAACGTGCTAGCTCAACTTGGTCAAGCCCATGGGCCACATTTTATAGCCTACGAGGGCCATTGGATCCTCCTTGCGCATAGCCAGGCCTACTTCGTGCTGAAGTGCTTTGGCGTTTGAAATAAGGGAGCCCATAAGTTTATGGGCAATTGCGAGGAACTATGCGTGTATGTCTATGCCTATATACATACAATACAAGAAGACATTTTCTTTGGAACCAGTAGCTCAGTAACATTTAGCCATCTGATATAAAATTCAATTTATCAAAGATCTCATATTATGAGAATCTAATTTTCTAGACTCAGTGACAGACTTCAAGTTGCTCATTTAACACCGACGACTAAGGAAGATTATAACTTTCATGTACTAAAGATATGTTACCAACTTTTTCAAAATTCCGTGGACTTCCAGCCCCATGAGGTTGGGGCCTAATTTTTGGGAAAGCAAAATTAAAAGGGAATTCTGGAAAAAGATTTATAATAATTAGGCTTCTTTAAAAAAATGAGTCCTTCTTAGTTTTTAGACCGAGAGATGAACTAAAAAAATTCATAGAGAGAGGTTAAAGTCCTTTGTTTCTCTCTCTAGGTTTTTTGATGTGCAAAAAAATTACAGAGGTTTTTTTTCAAAAATTTCAAAAAGTTCGGAGCTTCATAAAGCTGATGTTCTCCAATGAAGGTTGGAAAGAAATTATTCTTTTGAGAAGGTGAGAAAGATGAAATAATTCCCATAGAGGTATCTATGCACTTTTCCCTTTTTTCTTGTTCCTAATCCTCAAGTTATGTTGGTTAATTAGGAAGAATTGTAATTATTTTCTGCATAGTAGATTTCATCTGTGGTGTCCCATGATTTCCCTTCTTTGAAGGTGGTTTTTTGCATAAATCTTTGTGATTTCCTGTAAATTTTTATATTTTTATTTCTTAGAGGTTTGATATTTTTTCTTTGATTCACACATATATAGGGAGCTACTACTTCCCAATAAGTGGTATGAGAGCCTTGGTTATAGATTCAAAAAAATAAAAGAAAGAAATAGAAGATGTTCCATATGCTTTAGTGGTAAGGAGTTTGATGTATGCCATGGTGTATACAAGGCTAGACATCGCACGTGCATTAGGTGTGGTGAGTAGATTTCTTGCTAAGTCTTGCAAAGAACACTGGACATTACTAAAATGGATTATTTAGATATCTCAAGGCACATCCAAAATTTGTTTATGCTTTGGAAGTGAAAAGTTTGTGCTAGATGGATATACAAATGCAAGCATGGCTAGAGATCTCAATATCAGGAAATCCACATCAGGTTACTTGTTCACTTTTGCAAGGGGAGCAGGAAATCCACATCAGGTTACTTGTTCACTTTTGCAAGGGGAGCTGTATCATGGCAATGCAAATTACATAAGTGTGTAGATCTTTCCATGCTAGAGGCAGAATATATAGCGGCTACAAAAGCAACTAAAGAAATGTTGTACATGAAGAGGTTCTTAAAGGACCTGAGTTTGAAGCAAGATAACTATGTGGTTCATTTTCGATATCTTTGGTCGATAAATCTTTGTATTTGGTTTGTTTTTAATTTCTTGCAATATATCAGTTTTGTAAAACAAAAATAGGAACAAAATCCTTGTTATTTGAATAAATCTATTTCTACTACTTATAGAATAAGTGATATGGGTTAGAAGTATGGTTATAACCCAAAACCAAACGATAAATATTGTATAAAGTGTAATTTTTGTAAAAAAAATACCAATGGGGGTATTAACCAATTCAAGAAACACCTTGCTGGTATTAAAGATAATGTTGCTTCTTGTAGAAAAGTTTTTGAAGCTATTCGGGATGAGATTAGACAACTTTTGAATTTAAAAGAACCAAAAAATAATGAAACTGAGCATTATTCTATGTAAATATCTTCTCCAGGTTCTTCTAGAAGTAGTGATCCGAATTGGAAGTATGGTTATAACCCGAATCCGAATGGCAAAAATCGTATTAAATGTAATTATTGTGGAAATAATACTAATGGGGCATTTACCGGTTTAAAAACCACATTGCCGATATTAAGGGGGATGTTGCCCCGTATAAAAATGTTATTGACGCTACCAGAGAGGAAATTATACAATATTTGAATTCAGGGAAGCACAAAAAGATAGAAAATTGTAGAACAACCAAAACTCCTAATGCTTCATCTGCACATACTAGAAAGAGGGAGGTAGATGAAGAGGAGGAGGAAGAGGCAGATTGAGAAGAAACAGAGAAGGACGAGCATTATATTGAAGAGTGAGATGACTCTGATAATGATGGCCTCGATTTTGATGCATATGATGAAGCTTACTCTATTCATTCTGATGATGATGACTAAAAACTCTTGGTTTTGAGTGTTGACTATTGTGTTGAGTGTTGACTAATGTGTCCTAGACTGTATATTTTCTGAATTTCTGTACATTTTCACTTTCTTATTTTTCATTTCTACTTTCTAGTTTCTAGTTCTACTATCTAACTTTTGTGTGTACAGTCTACAGTGTAATAGACTATCAATGTATGCTTGTATGATTTTACTGTTTTAACATTGTATGAAAATATGGATTATCAAAAATTCAAAATTCTCTTCTCGAGTTCTATGTTCTTTTTTTAACTGGGATCATGGCCTTATGGATTATTAAAATTCTTATGGATTATGGTCTTATGATGTATGCTTGTATGATTTTACTGTTTTAACATTGTATGAAAATATGGATTATCAAAAATTCAAAATTCTCTTCTCGAGTTCTATCTTCTTTTTTTAACTGGGATCATGGCCTTATGGATTATTAAAATTATTATGGATTATGGTCTTGTGGATTATCAAAATTCTTATGGATTACTCATTATTAGTCATCAGTTAATTTTCTTTTGTTTTTTTTTTTTTACTTTTTTTTCAACTGGGCCGCCTAGGTTATGGGTGCCCACCTAGCTGGCCGCATAGGTGTTGGGCAGCTTGGACCCGCATGGCCACTTGGGTGCCGCCTAGCGGTTTTTGAAACACTACTTGTAGTTTTAAGTATTTTTAAAACTAATTATGTTTATTATAAAAACCATACTAGCAAGTCAAAATATATATGCAAGAGCTATTTTTTTAATCACGTTTATTATAATATTATAATTAATAATCATCATGATCATTTTTGCCTTTTTTCCAATTAATTGGGGTCGGCTACAT